TCATCCACTACCCTTTTCTCCATCTCTGATGCCACTTTACCAGCTGTCTGCCGCATACACTTTCCCTCTCCTCTAAATCCATTTTCCTTGCCATCTCTCCAATTTGCGTTTGTATTTCTGTCAAAAGTTACTTCTCTCTCCTCTCCTTCTCTCTGCTTCACTTTCAACATATGCCTGGGGAAAAAATTAATAATTTCATGTGGGTATATTTTCTCTTCCTTTCTTTCAATTTCTCCCACCAGCTTCCCCAAGCACACAGTCACTCTCTCCTCCTGTTCTCCACCAAGCAGTGCTAAACATCCCTGTTCACACACATGAGAGTGAGAGCTAGCCCTCTGTGTCCACTTGTAACAGGAACACAAGAAATGCATTATCACCTCGGGCTCCGTGGAGCTCCAGCACATGCGACGTGGCAACGATGTCTGTGCAAACTTAAGGCCGGATGGTCCTACGCATTGCTGTCTCATCAAAGGGTATTACGCTAAAATTTAAATGCAAATTCTCCCTAAATTCCATCCAATTATTTTTAATGCGTCGCTCAAGTCACTTCTTAAGAGTCTCTCTCAAAGTCTATGCTGGTAAATCCGTTTGTGAATGATAATTCATGTTTTATTCTGCCCTTCTGGAGTAATCTTAAAAGATTCAAGAGAGAGATGTAAAGGAGCCACCCCTGGCTCCCAGTACAGAGCCACTACAGACCCAGACACATCCTAACAAAGCACCAGTGGAATTTATTTAAGTGGGTGAGAAAAGGACATCTCATAAACACATGCTGTTGGATGAGCCAGCAGAAAAACTGCAATATGTATGCTGTGTGGATAACCCCCCCCCCACCCCCCCCACACCCCCCACACACACGCGCGCACACACAATTACTAAGAGGGATGCCAAAAAAACAGCATGTTTCTTATGAAGTCACATCCTGCATGACCGTAAGCTCCAAGTGACCGCAAGTAATGAGCGAGATGGGGCGGAAGTAACATCTACTGCAGCCTCCCAAAAACACACATGGTCACATACACACACACATTCTCAAAGACACACACCATTATGGTCATCAGTGGTCTGATTCTGGGTTGGGCTGCACCTAGAGCATAGCTTAGTAGTATTCTGTGTCAGCATGTTAAGTTATTGACTAGAACGTACGTGTGTGTGTGTGTGTGTGTGTGTGTGTGTGTGTGTGTGTGTGTGTTAATGAGGGGTGGGCAGGGGGCCAGTTGCAGGCTGGAGGGAGACTTGGCTCCATCAGACCTGTTCTCTGGCTGTTTTCGCATGGCCGGAGACACACACTGACAGACACAGATGCAGGCAGACACACACACACACATATACCAAACCCCAGTGGAGGAATGGGGCAAAGCCCCTTGCCCTTGAACTGTCTCCTCAGATGAGTCTTAAAATAGGAGAAAATGCACCAAATTGAGAGACAAACTCTTTTCTGTTGAACTGAAGAGCCCCTCAGACCATGCAGGGGATTCAATCGGGGCGATCTAATATTTTGAGGTTCAGATGAGCCACCCCTGTAAGGAACGATGGGGAAGAAAACAAGACAGAAGATGGAAGGAATCTGGGTTAGCCACACAAGAAACCCCCACCCCCCCTCACCCCTCGAGAGGAGCCTGGAATGGAGGGATGGATGGAGGGATGGAGAGTACTAAGCTGTGATTAAGGAAGAGCTACTGGTATTTAAGAGTTAAGCTTTGAGAGAGAGAGAGATAGCATGGACATGAGAGGGAAAGAGAGAGAGGATGCTGGGGGCAGGAGTCTCTTCTCTGAGCAGGGAGATCAGCGCCAGACTTGTGGAGGCTGAAAGACAACCTGAGAGAGATAAGGGGGGATGAGGAGAGAGCATATGCTAACTGAGAGGATGAGAGATGCGATGAAAAGCGCAAACTGCAGCGAAACAGATAGTGAGGGAGAGATAAATCGAAAGAAAGAGGAGGGGAGAGCCGGGTAGGATACATTTGTGTGTGACTAAGCAGCAGGATCGAAGATGAGAGGAGGAGAGGCAAGGAGAAGAGAGGACATCCATCCCTCTCTCTGCCTCCAGGTGCAAAGGACAAGACTGAGGGCAGAGGACACTGGCAAACACCCACACGGACACGCACTAGTGTGTATATCTGTGTGTGCATGTGTGTCATGCAGCTGTGGGGTATAAGGGAGAGGGGGACCTGCTATGCAGCAGGTGCTGGCCATTTCACGCCTGTCGGCCCCTCTTAGCCCTGTTTGTCTACACGCATTCACATTAGCCTCCATCGCACCTCCATCTGGAGTCAGTCCACATCTTTCTCTCGCTCTGTTTCGACAATTATGCACTCTTTTCATTTCACTTAAACCAGCATTCGCTCAGTCTCTCGCTTTCTCAACACTCTCCATCTCTCCGCCTTCTTTAAACCTTCACTCTGACACTCGCTGGTTGCCACAGTCACCCCTTAACTGCCAGCGAATTTAGCTCACATCTTATCCTCCTCCTCCTCTTCCAGTGAGTAAGAGAGGAGTGGGAAGGAGGGAGGAGGTGGTCGGCTGCGAGAGAACAAGACCAGATGGAGGAGGGAGATGACGGGACAAGGAAACTGTGGGAAGTTCAACACGGGAAGAGACCACAGAGACCAGAAAGAAAACAGAAAGAGGAGAAAAGGGAAGGAGAAAGTGGGATGACGAATGAGAGAGAGGAGTGGAAATGCAGGATAAAAAAAGACAGAGTGAAAAAAGAACGGATGGTGGAGTGAGAAGCGAAGCAGCCAGGAGCTGAAGCAGCAAAGGGTGACTGATCCGCTCTGAGAGGCTTGGAGACAGACAGACACACACGCTATGCTGAGAGATAGTGGGGGCCAGTAGCAGTGGAGATAGGATGCAGTGGCACAAGATTCCCATGGGAGTTTTAAATGCCGTCAGCATCCACTCTCTCTCCCTCCACCCCTCATGCCTCCGCTCTCTCCCTTTTCTGAGTGTGAGGACTGAATGCTGGCACCGATTTATCCTGGTGCACGTTCCCTTGCTTTTTTAGTCTGCCTCCACCCCCCCCCCCTCTTCTGCCTGGATCTTTGTATCTTCCCTGGTTGTTGCTTGTAATACACAGCAGGAGATGGTGGCATACTTTGTGCTACACAAGCCAGCAACACTACTATGCAGCAGCAAAGAGTGGCCCCCAGAGGAGTGGTGACGCATGCTGTGGCACCACAAGGGACTTGAAGAAAGATGGGGGGTGAGAGGGAAAGACAGAAAAAGTAGTGAAATAAGAAGAGACTGAGCAAGAGGACAAGAAAAAAAAAAAAAAAAAAAAAAAAAAGAAAGGAAATGGCATAATGAAGGAGCTGGGTGGCTCTTAAGATGTAGCCACCAGAGAAATGCACTTTTTTCCCCCATTAGGTGCAAGGTTTACCCGTATGTCAGCAGAAAATAACTTCCGGTTAAGTGCAGGCATGAGTCAGAATAGTAGAAGGGGATGTATTTTGTATGAGGTGAAATGCAGGAGTGAACCCTGTGCAGCTAAAACTATTGAGGAGGAGACGGAAATGGAAGTACAGGCTGTTTTCCATCTTGACTGGCTCCATTCGGGATGGTTTGACTCCCAAAACTTGAGGTGAAACAACAAGCTGAACAGCACAGAGACAGATGTATACACCCGAACACATACATACATATCACGAATACGAACCTGCAGACGCACACGCACAAAAAACACACAGTGTCTCAGAGCTAGTCTCGGCTAAACCCAAGGCATCACTGAAATCCACTTCAAAGTCAAAGTCAACAGTGTCATTGTCAGTGAAATCTATCACTTTTACTGATTGCAGACTTGTGTTCAAGACAGTGATTCAAATGAAAACTGCTCATTTGCTTCGCTTTAGCCTCTCCTGTCATTACTGATGGCCAAGGGTACTGCTGAGGAGCTACTCAGTCACTTTTTTGATCATTACTTTAGGAGGACGAACTGCTCTCTCTCATTTAAGAAAAGGAGAAGAAAAGCGAAAATTGGAATGAGAAGGGCCATCCATTTCTGTGCAACGCTCTCCGTGTGAACTACCACTAAAAACCTTGTGAAAACCTCCGCTTTGTAAATGCCATCTGATGTTCAAAAGGGGATAGACAGACCTTGGGTGCCGCCAAGGCAAAGAAACGTTGATAATACTGTGTTATTGAGTGCATGCAAAGACACGCAGAAGAAGTGACATGCATTCTTAATATGACACAGGGAAAAATAGATGACGAAAAGTTGAAGAGGTAAACCCAAAAGAGCGCAAGTGCATGCACATAGACACTCACACGTACTCGCTCAGGCATTCAGACATACTCATACAAACACACACACACACACACACGCATACATCATGGACAGAGCAGCTGGACCCTTTAGCCCTACGCTACACACAACAAGTCCCAAGACCCAAGACAGTCCTCAGCACAAAGTATAATATATGTTTGTGTGTGTGTGTGTGTGTGTGTGTGTTCATGTGACATGTGAGGCAGAACCAGGTACATCCCTGGGGAAAGACATAAGAGCATAGCACACCAGGAAATGTGTAGCATGTGTGATGAAAGTGCACTTGGTTCCAGTTCATCAGTTCAGAGGTTATAAATGTTTTCACATACGAGCAGAGGACAGTTTAGATGATGAACAAGACCCAAGTGTGTTTTTTATTTCACTTCTGAAATGTTCGCTGCTTTACTGAAGTATTTACTGTGCACGATTTATCTGTGTGTTAGGAGATTTGCAACTTGTGCAAATTAAACTTAGTCTTGGTTTAATGCATCTGTGACGACAGCAACAGTTTGAATGCTATTTTTCCATATCGGAGAAGTGCAGGAAATGGACACATCTGTTCCCAATTGGGGGTTTATTTTTTCGTGACAAACAGCACACATGATGTACTTCAAGTGTGTTGGTTTATTCATTATTTCTAAATGTTATCTGACCTACATCTTGAGTACCATTTGTTTATTTACCTTTTTGTGTGCATGTTTTGTGGTGTGTGCTTTTTTTGTGCTCCTCAACTAACCTCTGACGAAGACTGTGACTTGATCCCTGCTGGTCCCGATGCGGTTCTTGACCTCGCAGACAAAAGTGGTGTTGACAGCCTCGTCCACCTTCAGCACCTTCAGCTCGTTGTCTCTGATCTGCACTGTGTCTGGCATCTCTCCTGACATACTGCAGGGACATGAGAATATTCACCGTGAGCAAGACGAAAAGGGAGAAGCAAAAAAGCAAAATAAAATGAGAATAGGATTGTGGTTTGACTTTGAGCGCAGTGAGAGCATTTAGACAGATGTACGGAAATATGCTGTTTTGTGCAATGTCATCAAAATCCACTAATCTTGTGCAATCAGTACAAAACCAATCAGTTTCTCCTCTTCAAAAGGCAATCCATTATCACACAGTGGAGGAGAATACGGTGGGGACAGGGGGAAAATCTAAACTGCTGGATCCGAGCCCAAAATCTCATCTCTCCCATTTTAAAGTTCCAGACTTTCTTCAAATTTTGTCACAGTTATGTTAATAGCTGATAATGCAGGAAAAAGGGAGAAAGGGACTCATATTGCGTCTCTCATTATGCGAGGGTTAAATCTCAAGTCACAGAGTCCATTATGAGAAATTATACGGCTATCTCCATAATCAGAGCACAGGGCTGTAGTGGCAATAATAAAAGCGCTGATTACAGCTCTGAGAAGACTCTGGACCCAGAAATGAAGGAAAAAAACAGAAAATGAAACAAAAGAGAAAACAAGAGACGTATGGAAAAAGAGACAGAGCAAGAGAAGACAAGACTATAGAGATTCCAGGATGTGCTGATACTCACGTCTTCCACTGGACTGAGAGCGGTACGGGGTTTCCGGTTGCTTGGCAGGTGAGCACCACATTTGTACGACCCACGTACCAATTATTGTCATAACCCACAATTGTCACCTGAGGGGCGTCTGAAGGAAGGACAGATGAACGGGGGAAGGGAGGAGAAAAAAAAAATAGCAAGGAGTTCAATTAGTCACTCCAAGGTTTGAAATCATGTTAGAGTATGAACAGCAAAGGAATTAATTAGGTTGTGTGTGTGTGTGTGTGTGTGTGTGTGTGTGTGTGTGTGTGTGTGTGTGTGTGTGTGTGTGTGTGTGTGTCTTGTCTTACATTGAACTGCTAGCTTCATTGGGAAGCTCTCTGGTTTGGTCTGAGTCCTGTGTGCCACCACACAGCTGATGTCTTTCCCATTATCTGCTGCTGTGGGAACCATGCGGTACTCGCTGGTCACTGTCACGGTGTTGTCGACGCCCGGCTTAGACACTGTTGTCCCATTGCCATTGGCTGTGGTCACCCAGGAGATCTGGGCAGCGGGACGGCCATCTACAGACTCACAGCGCGCCACAACGACTGGCTTAGTGCCTGCGTCCACTGTTACGATGGAGGCCGAGTTCTGAGGCTTAGCTGATGGATGGATGGACAGATTGATGCAAGGATGGAGGGTGGATGGAGAGAGGAAGGGACACAGAGTGGCAGAGAGAAGATTAAAGGATGTAGAGATTGATAAAATGGAAATAAGACAGCAGAGGGAAAAGATAATGTGCACCATTATTGATAAACAATTTGAGTCACCAGTCTGGCTAAAGCAAATCCAAAACCTCAATCTCCACACATCCACTGTACCCCACTCACCACCTCTCCCTGCTCTGTCTTTTCTCTCTACACAGCCTACATTGATAAACAATTATGAGCAGCCATGCAAACACACCCAAACCCTAAATCTTCTTTCACTCTCCTTCCATTGCTTTAATCTACTCCCTCTCTATCCCTCTATCACCCGCCATTGATAACCCATTCCCCTGACTGGTCCAGTGCATTTCCATACACAAATTCTAAATCTCCGCATGATCTCTGTCGGCACCCCCGCCCCCCTCTGCTCTATCTCTCTCCTCATACCTCCTCAATTGCCCTCTGTGATACTAGTGTGGGATCAGAGGAGAGCGGGCAGGACAGAAGCTGACAGCAGGCATGACAAGCAGCCAGATCAATATAGAGCCTGAGGGGAGGCGGGGAGGCATGATGCGTTGGAGAGAGAAGAGAGTGGAGAAGAGGCACTGGTGCTGGGCCAAGGTTAGACCAATGGTTCCATTGCATTAACAAGAACACAATTGATCTGACAATACCACTTAAAACAGCAATTAAACCTAGCTGGACAAGCTTTTAACCTGCATACTACCTTTGGGGGAGGGAGAGAGTTAGAGAGCCAGAGAGAGAGAGAGAGAGAGAAAGGCGTATAGTGCTTTGCATTTACACATATATATGTACTAAGCATGGTAAATATGCACAGTATGTAGATTATGTTAGTGACCTACCCAGCATGACCAAATAGGTGACACCCTGCTCGTTGCCAATTGGGTAGGTAGCATATTCACAGATGTACTTCCCCTCGTCAGTCATCCTAACATCACTAATCTGGATGGAAGGGCTGTCCAGGTTTGGGGGACTGGGTGAGAAGCTGACCCTGCCCTTCACAGGTGAGTCGGGGTAGTTGGGTTCAAATTTGGGGTGAAACACAGCGATGTTGATCCTTTCCCCTTCCTTCGGCTCGTAGAGCCATGTGACCTGTGGTGGAGGAGGCACAGGGTCAGTGGTTAGGATGTGTACAGTGACTGAGAAAAACAACAGGCCTCATTCATCATGGTGTTGATAAGTGACACTGGAGAATGTTTTGAGACATCCACATTTTGCTGTAAACTCCACAGGGCAACATTCAGCATTACAATCAAAGGTATGAATATGGATGTGAGTTTTTCAGGAGCAGTTCTCTCTCTCTCTCTCTCTCTCTCTCTCTCTCTCTCTCTCTGCTGCTCTTCATGGAACCAAACAAAATTGTGCACTTCCTACTTCATTGAGATGCAACTAAGAACTGTTCCCATTACCATATTCAATCCCCTAAAGCAAAATGAAGCTTAGTATTGTTTGTTTGGAGTAATAAAACGTTAAGTCTAAATGTGATAAAAAACTATTACAAGCCTCAGGATTATTTCTGTGAGCTATGATTTGTTAGATTAAGGTTTAATGTGCCAAATCAACAGGAAACATGGACCTGTATTATCATTTTATGTTCATTTTGATTGAAATTAATTGCTCTTATCCACCTGTTTCACACACCTGCAGAATCAGGTTGATGCATCATTTACAAATACTTTATTTTACAAGAAATTATCCATTTGTTTGGCCAAATATTAAATTGTATATTACCTATCTGAACAATTTATATTGTGTCACTTCAGCACAATGAGCTACATTTCAGGATGTAACAGACATTTTCATTAGAATTTCATAAAGGTACGAGTGTGCTGGTATAAAGAAGTTATCAAATCCTAACTGAGAAAAAGAAAAAACTGTATCATGTCTCTGTGGATCTGACCATTGTGAGCTGAATCCCGGTGGCATCAGTGAAGGCACAGCGTAGGTTGACTGTCTGGCCAGGATACGACAACACCTCTGGCTCCACCTTCACTCGCTGACCTGTCACTCCTAGAAGAAACAAAGAGAGAGAAATAGAAACATTAATGTCTCTTGTTTCCTTCTTTTCCAAGCCAGGAGAGGAGATAAAGAAAGGGAGCAGATAAACAGTATCGGTACAAAACCTGCTGATGATAAATGAGGACAGCGTGGAAGAGTCTGGTACAACAGAGGACAACATTAGTGAACCCAGGCAAGTAGGCCAAGAGTCTGGTGTCTCTCCATGACTGTGCGTGTGTGGATGAAGTGGCCGAAAAAGAAGAAAGGGATTTGTGCTGGGAAAAAAAAAAAAAAAAAAAAGAGGAAAGCCAGTTCTCTTTTGCACATAGGTCGTAAATCATCAGGATGGGTTATGCTTTTCTATAGCCTGCCATTTGCTGTGCCGACACATTCCTGTGCAACAGCTAAGAGTCAAAATAAATATGCTTTTCTTGGTGTGTTGTGTCAGTGGGTGTGCGCAAAACAGAAAGAGCGAGGGAGCTTTAGAACGACAATCTGTCCGTGTGTGTGTGTGTGTGTGTGTGTGTGTGTGTGTGTAATCCAGGTCTCTGTGAAAATGTAATTACTTGTATGAGTAAGCGCGCATTAGTGTATGTCAGCAAGATGGTACCTGTTTTAAGTAAGAATGGATTACCTGCGGATACATAACTTCAAATGTCTGCAGCCGGGGCTACATGTGCGAATGTGTGTGTGTGCTTACAATGTGTTTACCAGCAGGATACACACACTCACACACACACACACACAGAATAGTACCGACAAAACACAATTTCCCCTAAAGACAAACAATTACTTGCGGAACTAGTTCCACCAGTTTGTGCTGAGCCAAAGCTGTTGTGTTGAAACTAATATGATCTGGAGGGCTGATGGAACACACACACACACACCCACATGAAACCCATAGGTTGCGAGATAAGAGGAAAGGGCAGCGCTGTCTTTCTCTTTTGACGAGCAATAAACACCACAACGTCTCTTCTCTAGGGAGATCTGAGATATCAATACAGAGGAACAGAAGAGGGAGGAATGAGCGTAAGACTGAGTGGGAAAGTGGAAGAAAACAAGCCTTTCCTAGAATAACACCAGTTCTCCCAGGACCAGCCCAATTTACAACCACAAAACAACCCCCTTGTAGCCACAGAGGAACCTCTGGACAACCACTAAGCTGCCCGTGGGAGCAGCAGAGAGCCTTATAGGGCTGGAGAGAGGAGCAGCTTGCTCTTTTTCCCCTCTCACTGGGACACACATACATGAGCATATCTGCGCAAGTAGACACACAAAAGCACGTGCACTCACACATTCTGACACATATGTGTCTCATGACAGCTTTATTGGCAAGCTCCTGGCTTGTTATCTTTCAAATATATATCTTTCAAAAGAGTATTTAGTGAGGATCAAGCTACAACCCACTGTCTGTCCACCTGAACTAGTCTGACTGACTACAAATTAGCTCTGGGAATGGGAGCTGGATTCAGGGAACAACAGAGGAAGAAAAAAGGGAATAAAAAGGTTACTGGACCCTTTGATTACTTGTCTTGATTGGGAGTGTGTGGGCAGAGTCAGCTTGACATGTCAGAGGTCATTACACAATGTGGCATTGAAGATGAGTTACTCTGCTTCAGTGTTGGTCAGGTTACATTAGCAGGTTAAATAAGTAATAAGTTACAGTTTCTTATTTCAAAAGTGAGTTACTGCATAAAAAAGCAATTGGTTACTACGGGGAAGTGACTTCAGTATATAGCTATAATATTTCAGTGAAACAGTGTGCGACATGACACCTGTCACTGAACCCATTATCACTATGGTGAAAAAAGTAGTGGAATAATAAAATACTATTAACTTGTTTTGAGAGTCCTATTTATTATACTGTTGACATAATTTGCATGTCTCGGTCAGCGGCGCTTGCACAAGGGTCTTTTGAGATAAGTTTTGTAGAAGTGTGTTGTTTTTACCAGGTGCTTCAGGGGAATAGAATTACTATTCAGTTAATATGGAGAGCGTGCTCACAACAGCACACTGACTACAACTCAATATATTTTTGTCCTTGACCTTGAGGAGGGAAAAAAAATAATGTCCATATTTCCAGGAGGAAAAGCTTGCATTACTAGGTCTGTCGCCCATTGTGTGGGCTGATGCTGATTGATTGATGCGCTCATTTGCAACACTGTAAAGTCGGGTGGTGGCTGCATTTGTCTGCTGTAGCCTGCAGTTGTCCAGTCCCTTTCACAGAAGACTAAAGTAACAAGTAACAAGTAACAAGCCCATTTAAAATTCAGTCATTATAATTGTGTTCCTTAATTTGAAAAAGTTACTCCAAACCCTGCTTTGCTTCCAATTTCCCTTGTTTGCATATGCGCAAATTCACACACAAACACATGCACACATGCAGAGCTGTTGTGTTCGCACATAATAATGTGGGGCTAGACCTGACCCCGAGCCAAGCCGGGCCGGGCCTGTTGTCTGTCATTTTGAAGCAATAAGAGGAGAGCCAACACAGGTCAACTCCTGCCAGAGCTTAGATGAGAGACAGGCTGGTCTTATGAGACTCTACACAGCCCCAGGGAAATGAATGTTACACACAAGATATACAAAGACGTGCACGCCATCCTCCTCCTCGATAGTCCCCAAACCCCAGCGCTGTAGACTCAGCGACTCGGTGTCAATACAATGGCAAGCAGGAGAAAAAGTCAGCGTGTTCATCTGTGTGTGTCTGTGTGTGTGCATGTGCTTGGACACGACAGACGTCTGGAGGCAAGGTGGCATTTGAAATAGTAATTGTCAGTATAAATATTTAGGGAGGATTGTTCACATTAAACAGAAGAGAGCGAGACGGGAGGTGGAGACAGACAGAAACTAAAGGGAATTAGAGATAGAAGACGGTTCAAGGGTAAGAGTGAGAAGAAAGGATGAGCGACACAGGGAGAGAAAGAGAGGGTTGGAGGGGAGGAGAGCGAGAACAGAAGCCTTGTGTCACCGCTGTTCTACTTTACAGTAACTCGGCTGCCTGCAGGTGACATACAAGAAACACCCACCAAGCCAAACACACGTGAAACAACAAATGCGTGCACACACAAGCTGCCCTCTTCAACATCCTCAAATAGTCAGATGCCACCATCCTGAGTACTGTCACCTATCATTATGTCTTTAACACCCACATGATGTGCGTGCACACACACGCACACACACACACACACACATTATGTTGATGGCACTGCGACAGCCCTGTCATATTAACACAGTCCTCTCTGATCCCCTGCCTGGTCATGCTGACATTTCCATATTTCCCACCATTCGTCTGTGAAGAGGGAAAATGAATCAGGAAGGAAGGAGGAGGAAGTGTGCTAGGAGGATGGAAGGATGAAAGGAGGAGATGAGAGACAGCCTGGGAATGCCAAAGTGATGAAGGATGAGCGCGGAGGAGGGTGAAGTGTAAGGAAAGTGGGGATGAAAGGGTGTGAAGAGAACGCAACGCCAGGAATAGAGAATGAAAGAGGAAGCGAAAAGGAGGAAGTGGTGAGAGAAGAGGAGAGGAGGAGGAGGAGGAGAAGGATCTCGAAGGGGAGACGGTGTGAGCTATAAACAAGGTTAATAGAAGACAGCTGAGGGACAAAAGAGAGAGACATTTAGAAGAGGAAAATCATGAGTGAGAGAGAAAGTAGGTGGGAAAAAAAAGATCAAGAGCGATGCAATGGGAGAAACTAAAAATGGAGAGGTGAGGGGGGGTGGGGGGTGGTACAGGTAGAGAGAAACAGAGCGAGGAGAAGCAGATGAGAGGGAGAAGAGCGGGAGGTGTGGAGCAGCAGGAGGCAGGGTAGACTCCACACCTGACCTTGTGAGGAACACTGTGGCTGTGAATAGAGAGAGAAAAAGAAAAAAAACACACACACACAGTGAAACAGTGCGAATGAGCCAGAGGAAGCAAGAGAGCGAGTCAAAAAAAATACTCAAAATCCTAATTTTTTTACCACGAGCCCATTTGAACCAGCCGTGGCTTATAAAACGAGCATACGCTTATCAGCCTGTGTCCGCCTGCCTCGCTGCCTGGCTGGCTGACTCTGACGCCTAATGGCATTCATGTCCTCTGCCTGATCCCCACTATAGTGGAGAAAAGCACAACGTCAGGGGGACAGGGAGTGCAGGCCATCACCTAAAATATCTAATGGCCTTCAGAGCTCACTGACTCTGCCATTTCATCAAGCTAGAGGCTATGCACTGTCAGGTGGGCTAGAATGAAGCTTCCCCATTCCCCACGTTCTTGAAGATTGCTTCCTAGCAGTTCATTGTGTATGTATGTGTGTGCGTGTGTGTGTGTGTGTGGGTGTGTGTGTGTGTGTGGGTGTGTGTGTGTGTGTGTGTGTGTGTGTGCGAGAGAGTGGGTGAGAGAGAGAATATATGTGGGTGTGTTTTCCTTTGGCCTTTCTAGCGCACTGCTGTCTCAATAAGCACCTTCATTATTCTTCCAGGTCTGTGTGAATTTCTCGATTTCCATTATTGTCTTGTTGTTGTTGTTATTGTTGTGCCCACCCTCTCCACTCCTCAAGAATAATAGCTTTGATATAAGCAGTATGGAGCGCGGGACGGAGCATCACGATTCTGTCCTGATGGAATCTGTCTCTGCCTGCTCCCTCTCCCACTTTTCTTACTCAAATTTAATCTTTTTCTTAAAGGGGGAATTAGAATGATTCTCAGCCCACCTTTCAAACTTGATCACTTGATGTGCTGAGTTTCGAACCCGAGGGTGCTGCCTGTGATGTAATGAGATGAGATTTTCGTAATACTGGAAGAAAAACTTTGGTCAGATTTCACAATTCAAAGAAGTGGAAGTCTGTACATAACACAGCAGTGCAGTTTTGGTGGCTTAATGATTGTCCACCGCTTCCATTTAGAAACGGCTCAAATCCTCTTTGGGTTTATGCACTGGAAGAAAATATCTTTGAGTTTGATTCAGCACAAGTAAATGTCCATCAAAGAGATGTTTAGATCAAAGGGGTGCTCTAACGTCACTCATGTAGGAA